GGCCGCTGCCACGTAGGATACATATTGCTGAGGTGGCGACATTATGTGACTGGTATTGCTGTTTTGTTCAGTCATCACTTCAGGGAGATATCAAGTTGTATCATCACTTCGGGAGGAGATCGGGACTGTGAGGAGGTTGTGATACGTACCTGGATTCTTTATGTTGACGAGGCTCGAGCGCTGATTATGGTCTGATAAGGTGCCACGTGGCACCTTGTGACAAGACTTCGATATGTGTTCAGATTACTGGTTACTGTAGGTGGCGATAAAAGGAAGGAGCCCGGAGAAGGAGTGGGCATTGTGACTTCTTCTCCCTTGTCTTTCCTCCCTCCTTCCTCTTCGTCTGTGTATGATTATCTCACCTCTCTATTTCTGGATACTGTTTGATTATTGGAACTATCAGCGGCTCGATAATCTGGACTTGCATTGTCAACAATCGTATTCATGACTTGGGTTCATTGCAATTTGGTATCAGAGCTGTACTCCTGATTGCGACACAACGACGACGGCCTACGTGTGCAAGCGCCAGGTGGCGCCAGGTAAGTAGGGACTGCACACGTGGCAAGATGATGATGACGAAGGTCTGCTGTTGAAGACGAAGATTGCTGGCAAAAAGACTATTGTTGGCACAGATACCGACGCCCACACTGACGTGGCAGATGGGATACCAGCTGGGATCGCGACTGAAGATCGCGACTGTCTGACGTGGCATGTGATGTGCCACGTCCCAGGATCTGGTTGCTGATGTGGCAAATAACGTCGCGTTAGTCTCTGACATGCGACCAGATCCTGCACAGAAGCTGACGTGGCTCTTGGAGGTGATTATTGCTGACGTGGCAGGGGAGGATTACCGCACTTGTCTTCTGCTTTGGTAATCATCTGCTGACGTGACGTTACTCCTTGGGTTGAAGTGGCAGTAGAGGGCCGCCGTGTTCACGATGAGTGCCCTCCTGCTGATGTGACATTGAAGTGGCGACAAATCAGCTTTGCTGATGTGGATACCCACTTATCGATTGGCTGGTTTGAGTACGGTATCACCAAACACGTGGATGAGGCACGTGGGGAAGGACAGAAAACACATTGCTGACGTGGCATCCCAGCATTTGTTGATTGGACACCGCTGACGTGGCTGTTTGCTATGTTGGTATGCTGGAAATGACACGTGGCAGGCAAGAAGTTGCCTGAGTGAGAGATTATCTTCCGACGACAAAGGCGGTACAACTGATTGAATGGTGTTTGAACAGCTGTAGTGCCAACCGTTGATTGGTGTGTTGTAACGTATTGGCACAAGTATTGACGCAGGGAAGAAGAAGGATACTAACATATTGTCATTGATTGATGTTGGTATACTTACCTTKTGTTGCTTGTTGTGGTGCTATGCGTACTCACTTGTGTGTGTATCTGATCACACGGCCTGAAGTGGTACCYGTAGAAATCTGAATAGGACGTCATCACACAGACTACGAACAAGAACAACATTAGTAGTAACTTGAATTTATTTTTCTCTTTTAGTTACAATAAATCTTGCTGTAGTTAGGACTGTGCTGCTGTAAAATTTACTATTGATAGTTAATTGTTTATTTTTCAGCAAATTATATCTCAACATGTCTCAATCTGAAAGCACTTCTCAGATCACCGAAGAACTGCCTAACGTTCCGACCAGACGACAAGTGGAAGAGCGGAAGAAAGTATTAACCGCTCGCTTGAACATATTGATCACTGAACTTCATGAGGCCGGTGCTGAGGCAGAAGCCCATGTCCGGGCATTGTACAACCTTGAGGCAGCACATGCTGCCCTCGAGGCAGCTGAGACTGACACCGATGTCATGCAAGTTCAGGAGGTACTCATCAAGTGTCGTCAGACACTTGATAAGTACATTATGGACCAGTATACTGAGATTGCGAATGGAAGCAGAAAGAAAGAAGTGCATGTGACAGAAGAGACAGTGGATGAGAATATTCCACAACTTGAGGAAGCTCTTGCAAAAGAAAGGAACCGGAAAGAAGAGGTGAAGAAACAACGTGAAAGAAATGAACAGCAGGAACAGAAGATAATTGAGATTAGACAGAACGTGGTAATAACTGAAGGAGAAGAACATGCAGTTTCTCTGACCCAACTTGTCACCTATCTTGCTCACCTTGAAATGAAGATTGAACAACAAGGTTTGAGAATTGATGAACTTACTGCAGGCTTGCAGACTGTCACAAACCTGGTGAAAGGAAAGAACAGGGTGGTCGAGACAAGGACCGAAGAGAAACTGAAAAAACTGATGGGAGATGCCATGAAACATCTCAAAGTGGAAACCGACGAGAAGGAAGAGAAGAAATCCGAAGAAAAGAAAGGAGAACCTTCGGATCCACCAAGTCCGCCGTCAGGGTCCCCGAATGGAAAGAAAGAGGGCCCTGCACAACCTGAGAAACCGAAGAAGAAGGATAAAGTCAAAATAAAATTGCCCATTACATTCTGCAATAAAAAGGATGAAAATTTGTTATTGTGGATTGCTGAGATACAAACCTATTGTGGCATGGCTCCTGTTGAACCCGAGTCTCAGGTAGCCTTCTCTACTTCTTGTCTAGGGGGAGAAGCTAAGGAATGGGTTTTGGCCGAAGCCAATGCTGCCGGGTTCGATGATATTGGGGAGTGGGCTGGGACACTGAATCTGAAACAGTTCCTAGGGAAAATCAAGGAACGTTTTCTTGACAAGACGATGGCTGACAAAGCCTTCGACCAGCTCACGACCATTGGACAAAAACATTGGACCTCGGTGGAAGCTTTGTCCAGGGAGGTTGACCGGTTGCTGCAAGTTCCAGGACTGAACTTGCAAGACAATCAGGTATTGTACATATACTCTCGAGCTCTGCCCGAGCCCGTGCGTAGTCAGCTCGTGGCAGAGTCAAAGTCAGGTAAGTATCACTACAGGCAATTTCGGGATTTGGCTCTCCAGAGAAAACAAATGACTTCTCAGGTGAAGAACACCTATGCATCTGTTGTGAAATATGGTGGTGGTGCAGATGCAGGAACAGGCAAGCGAGTACTCTGGCGTCAAAAGCGTAAGGACCACACCCTCGTCGTCTTTGACGACGATACTGCGGAGAAGTGGCCATTGTAGGCCGAGGGTGTGGCAAGCGGCAGTGAGTCCGGAAAGGGGGACGTCACTCCCGCCATGGTAAAAAAAGGAGGACCACGACCACGAGTAAGGAGGTGACCGCGTTCATTCCCGGAGCATCCCAGTATTGCAGCCGGAAGACCCTGGGAGAAAATGGACATCGACGAAAAGACTTGGCAAGACCGGATGAACAACGCGCAATGCCTGAAATGCGGGGTTGCGGGGCATGTGATTGCATGGTGCCCTTTAATCCGGAACCCAAAAGCCTGTCGCCAGTAGGAGTAACATCTGCTCCTACTGAGTTCAAGGGTTTAGATATTGAGAAAGGTAAGGCACCTACTAACCCTTTCAATCCTTCGACTCGTATGGCAGAGGATGTATCTTCTCCAGCCTTTCGTCCAGAACACCCTGAACCTGTCTTATGTTGTGTCTCTCTGGATGACTCCCTTGACGAGCTTAGTAATGAACTGCTAGCATTACGAAGCTCGTGGGCTAAGAAAGCAAAGTCTAAGGGTGAACTATTACTCGCAGATTTAGAAATCGCATATGCACGTGCGGGTGCACTATTAGACTCAGGATCTACAAGGTCCTACATATCCAAGAAAGCAATCCGCAAATTGCATCCCGGAATGAAGGTAAAGAACTTTTCTCGACCTATCACGTCTATCCTGGCTGACAAAAGCACGATCACTGTCTCACAATATGTCGATCGTGTGAAGTGTCGTTTCCGTACGAGGGACGGGAAAAAGATAATGCATGAAATTTCTTTCCTTGTTGAAAAGAATTTGCCGTTTGACATGATTCTGGGAATGGATTGACATGAGGAAGCTAACCCAGATATCAAGTTCAAGGACAAAATTGTGCAGTTGCGGGACGCACAAAATAAAATGAAAACCATCAAATTGTATCATAAGTCTGGCTCTGACTCTAGTCTGTCTTTTTGTTGCATGAGTTACCCAGCCTTTCGTTCAATGGTTTCGAAGAAGAAACTGAAACAGGAAGTCATGATGGTCCTAGTGAAGCAAGTTGGCGAGACCTCTACTTCCTATCCACCCTCGATTGAAAAACTCCTAGCTGAGTATAAAGACTTATCAATGGAACCAACTGGAACTACTGAGCGTTCCATTAAGCGCACTATTGAGATCATTCCTAGTAGTAAGACTCCCAAGGGCCCTATCTATAGAATGTCTCCTAGGGAACTTGAGAAATTGAGAAAACAAAACATAACTGAAAAAGGATGGATTCGCCCTAGCTCTTCTCCTTACGGCGCTCCTGTTTTATTTGTGCCTAAAAAGGAAGGTGAGTTACGTCTTTGCATTGATTATAGAGGGCTGAATTCTGTCACTGTCAAGAATGTCGAACCCCTACCACATATTGACGACTTGTTGAACCAGTTGCGGGGCCGCAAGTACTTTAACAAGATTGAACTAAAGTCTGGGTACCACCAGTTCGAGGTGGATCCCGCAGATCAACACAAGACGACTTTCCGAACAAGGTATGATCACTATGAGTTTGTGGTAATGCCTTTTGGATTGACGAATGCCCCAGCGACCTTCCAAAGGTCCATGAATGAGTTATTTCGTCAATGGTTGGATCAGTTCGTCATCGTGTATCTCGATGATATTCTAGTGTATAGTAAAACACTAGAAGATCATGAGAAACACCTCCGTCTTGTATTGGGGAAGTTGCGTGAAGGTAACTTCAAAATAAACCCGAAGAAATCTGAGTTCGCTAAGTCAAAAGTTCTATATTTAGGACACATAGTGAACGAAGATGGTCTAAGGTTAGAGGAAAAGAAGATTTCAGCAATTAGAGATTGGCCACAACCTAAGTCTATCACTGAGTTGCGTTCTTTCCTTGGTTTGGCAAGTTACTATAGGAAGTTTGTTAGAAACTTCTCACTGATTGTTGCACCAATGAGAAGATTGTTGAAGAAAGGAACAATATGGTTGTGGGATAAGGATTGTGAGTCTGCATTCAAGAAATTGAAGTATGCATTGACCCACTATCCTGTGTTGAAAATTGCTGACCCCGCTCTTCCCTTCATTGTCACAACTGACGCAAGTCAGTACTGAATTGGCGCAGTCTTTCAACAAGATGACAGACCAGCCGAGTTTATGTCTGCCAGATTGCCCACTGAAAAAGTTGCCAATTCTACTTATGAAAGGGAATTGTATGCCTTAGTCAGTGCACTGAAAACCTGGAAGCACTACTTGTTAGGGAGGCACTTCACTGTGTACTAAGACCTCTCAACCTAAAGTGGATAAAGACACAGCCTAAGCTCTCTGACAAACTGGTACGATGATCTGCCTTTCTTGATACCTTTGACTTTGAACTGAAAACAATCAAAGGAAAGTCTAACGTTGTTGCAGATGCATTGTCCAGGCGAAGTGACTCCTTCGGAACTATTGTCTCTTATCTGGATGTGGGAAGTGAATTGAAAGAAAAGATTCGCCAAGGGTATGCTAGTGATCCTATCTGGAAGCCTATCCTTGATACTATTGTCAAAAACCCATCTCTCCTTCCCAACTACCGAATATCCGATGGTTTGCTTTTCTTGATTGACCAAACTGAACAAAGACTCTGTATCCCTCACAAAGAAGAAATTAAAAATCTGGTGATTAGAGAATGTCACGATTTTGAGGGACATTTTGGATTCAAGAAAACTTACGCTGAGGTCAGAGAACGCTTTAATTGGAAGGGAATGAAGGAAGACGTACTAACTTACGTTCGTACCTATCTAGTGTGTCAGAGAAACAAACCTTCACATGAGAACCCCCTTGGTCTACTGAGACCATTGCCAATTCCAAGTGAACCAGGTGAGTCCGTATCCATGGATTTCATGAGTCTCATAAAAAGCCGCAATGGCAATAGTCAAATGATGGTTATTGTTGATCGTTTCTCTAAGTATGCTATCTTTATTCCCTTGCCTACTGAAGCACGAACTGAACTTGTGATTCAGAAATTTCAGATGTGATGGGTTATTGAATATGGGTTTCCCTTAACTATTGTGTCTGATCGAGATACAAGATTCACAAGTATGCCATGACAAAAGTTGATGGAAGTATACGACACTCGTTTGACCATGTCGTCAGGGCGACACCCTGAAACGAATGGGCAAAGTGAGCAGATGAACCGCTTGTGCCAACAACTCTTGCGCATGTACATAAGACCCGATCAGATTGAATGGGATGAGAACTTGCCCAAGATTGTCAGTGCTTACAATAGTAGTGTACATACTGCTACAAGACGAACTCCTAACGCACTGCACAAGGGATGGAAACCTAGGCGTCCCATTGACCTACTAACCCGGGACCAATTCCTTAGGTTGCCTCCAGGGACAAGAGAATATGCAGTTTTGTTCCAAGAAGACATAAAGAAGGTAAAAGAAAATCTGAAGAAAACTCAAGAACAAATGATAGAATAGGCCAATAAGCATCGACGAATATCTACATTTAAAGTAGGTGATTGGGTCTGGGTTAAGTCTAAAGAGTTTTCACTGGAAGAAGATGTGACTCAAAAACTGTTACCTGTTTACTTTGGACCCTGGGAAGTTCTCAAAGTATTGGGAGATGCAGAGGGACCGTCCTATCGAATTGATATTCCCCCTCATCTCAAGACTTACTCTGTCTTTCATGCGTCCAAAATATTGCCTTATGTAGAAGGAAATGAGTTTCCCAACAGACCCTCTATGATTCCATCATCTATGGACGAAGATTACGAAGTCGATAGAATCATAGAACACGGGTTCTTTTCTACAGGAGCACGCGGACATCCCCAGAAGTAGTTCAAGGTACGTTTCAAATCTCAACAACCATCAGAGGACCGATGGTTTAGTAAGAAAGAACTACTTGAGACTGCTCCTGACATCGTTTCTGCTTACGAACGAGGGTTGAAGTCGTAATTATTTCTGCGGTGGGACTCGAAAATGGGCCGGAAGGAATGTTATAACCCTGTTCAGAAGTAGCCCGGGGCCTAGAACTCAGCCCCAGGCCACGAAGACCAAAACAGGTCTGCGCTGGGCTGTGTGACCAGCATATGCCCAGATCTGAGAAGGCCGCACGCGGCTGTGGGACCAAGTGTTAGGCTCAGGAAATTGAAGAGTCAAAGTCAACTGTCAAGTCAAAGGTACCACGCCAGGCCCTTGGTTGGATACATCCACTTGTTGTGCGCAGGTACCAAGACATGCATCCAGGCCGAAGAGGATACAGTTTCAGATCAATCCAGACCCTTAC